GTGTTTGGCGGCTGGCGTGCGCGGGGGCGTGCGGGTCGGTCGGGAGCGCTTGGGGCTGCGCTCTGCTTCCCTCGAGGGCGCTTGGTTTTTTTTAAAGGGGTGAAGACACAGCCATTCGTACGTGTAGGGGAAGGGAGGGTGTCTGCTAAAACAGGGTTGGGTGCGTGCGTTATTCTTCCATTTTTAAAAATACACACTCTGTAATTACGATGCATGTATGTGCCCATAGCTGGTTTGTTTTTTGTTTTAATGTATACTATTATGTGAGATATGACTCATGGGATGACACATCTACAGACTGGATAATCTCAGCTGTAGTAATTCAGCACAGGGGAATTTCCACATTATCAGATATGAACTATTCTCAGATGATCCACTTGCTTATTGTACTTTAAGTTCAACCTACGGGAATTTTTGTCCTAATACCAGTAAAGATGTCTTTTCCTAGTGAGATTTTAGCTGTCTCGCATGAAAAATCTTTAAAACAGGCAAATAAACCCAAGAAAAGACAAAAGCGGCTTTCTGAAGTCTTGCGTACCCGTTGTTGTGCAGAACACTTCTTCAGGCCGTTTTCAGGTGTTCTTCAGCACGTGTCTTTGGAGAGGCTTGTACAACTTGAGTTCCAGTGGCGGCATCTGCTGTTGGGTAAAACTTGGAATATGTTGAAAAACGCTGCGTCTTTTTTTTTTTCAGTTGTAGAATACCAGCTCTGTCCATGTTTTCTTTGCTTCAGGTATCCTTTTGTGTCTCACAGTCTCTTACACGTTGTGAGGATGTAGAACGGATCTTCGAGAAGATGAGGACAGAGCCACACGCACGTGATATTGCCGCTTGGAGATCGGCGTGAACTCTGAATTAGGAAACCTACCATTTCATTTGTTCTCTGCCTTCCCTGCAGCGTGATGCTCACCATGCCTGCTGCTCTACTTCTTGCTCTGTGCCCTCACGGATGTATAGCCCTTCTGGCTCAAAACCACAGAACGAAAATGTAGTTTGAAAGGGTTTGGGTTAACCTTGATCATTTCAACGCGACAGTGGGATTAGAAACCTAGAAAGAAAGAATTTTCTGGAAAGGTTCAAGACTCCCCAAAGCTTCTGGCTTGGTAAGTGTTTCTGACGGTTATGGCCAGGGACTGGATTTATTTCAGCTCACAGGTGTACTCGCACATAAACACACCAACAAATCCTGAGGTTGCTCTTTGTAAACTTTTTTAGATTGCATTTCTCCTACTCGCTGACCCTTTCACCTCGTGGTATGGTTGGGTGTTTTCTTTTTTCCTCCCCGAGTTGGTATCAGCAAAACTCAAATTACTGTAACTGATATTTGAGAATTCTCCCTGTGTCAAGTGAAGACTTATGGTGCTGAAATCAATAAGACTGTTTAAAATTCAAAGACCTGCAAATCGTTCTGTTTGTCCTTTGATAGGGCCTAGGCTGATTAAAATGCGACCAAGAAAGCTTAATTGCTGCACTAATTAAGAAGTCTTTAATTTCTTTCCTGGAATATTGTTTGAAGCAGGGTTTCTGTTCTGCTCGTGTAACTGTTCAAGGCAGGTATTCTCTCTGTTTCTCTGTCTCTTTTTTTTTCTTTTTGAGTATTTTGGTGTATGAAAATGTATGTTAAAGCAGTAAGTTGTATTGACAGTGATTGTAATTTATTGCTCTAAAAATAAGAGTGATATGGAGTTCAGTGTTTTATTAAATTACAATTTTGAGGGCAGCTGTAAAGGGTAAAATGCAATTAGAAAATGCGTTGTAGCTGTTGCATTTTAAGGAATCTGAATACCTGACTGACAGGAGATAGGTTAGTACATCAGCTCCCTCCCCTTTCTTCAGTTATTATTGATAATTAATTTTTTAAATTCATTCAGAAAAAAAAAAAAAAGTCTTTATCTTCTGAACGTGTGTGAAGGAATGGACCCGGGGGGAGGGGAAGCATACGGAAGATAGGCACCTGGTAAGGATGAATAGTGTGTTACCGTGTTAAGTTCATCCACAGTTTTTTTTTCTGCATTTATTTTGAATATATTTTCCCGAGAAATACCTTTCTGTCTTGTGTTTTGTCTTATCCTTTTCTAGTGACCTATTTTGTTCACCGGTTTCTGAATAGAGGAAGCTAAATGATTTCACAAGGCTTTCTGTGTGATCAATAGAGTAGTGTTTTTGGTTTAATCATGCTGCATTATAATTCTGGCAAACGACTGGTGAGCAGAAGATTCCTAAGAAAGGAGCAAGTACTGGCGAAGCGAAGGTAAGTTCTGCTTTGCTTTTAATCTCCAGGGTCTCAAGCAGCAATCCTACTTGCAGGAGCTATCTGTTATTTAGAGGGAAGACTGAGAAAGAGGGAGGGACCTCATACTGAATACCCCCTGCGTCGCTCAGGAAAACAGACTCGTAGAAATGTAAGTCTGTGAATTGGGATCCTTTCTTTTTCTTTTTTTTTTTTCTTCTCTCCCTTCCACCAAGGTATTTACTAAACGTTGAAAAGAGGATGAATAGAGTTGAGATAGGTGTAAAGTGTTGTACTGGTAAGAAGAAACTGGATACTGCAGTGCTGTTTTTCTAATTGTTGCATTATAGTCAAATTAGCACAGACCTTGTCCAACACAAATACAAACCGGATTCCTTTCAGTGACAGGACAAGTAGATAACATGCTTAATAGATACAAAGGAAGATTTACTATTCCAAGCACGACGTCACGCTAATTATGTTTACTCTAATTGAAAGCAAGGTTTTGGGGAACCTGAAATTACTCGTAGGATATTTTTAATAACTGAATAATAATAAAGTGCAACAAACGTTGATCACAAACCTTTTGGTCTCTCAAAAATCTATTGGAAAATGAAATGAAAAGTGGAGTTTGGTACAAACAATGCCCCAGGGCAAAAAAAAAACAACCAACACTGGATTTCCCACCCCAGCCATAACACAAATCAATGTGAGCGCACTTCTATGGCCGGGCTGCCAGATTGTTATGACTGCTAATTCCCTCAATCAAACAGCGCATTAGCACACCCGGCACAAACAGCTTTAACGCTAGCGTACACTTCCGAACGGTCCGCCATAGATCAGAAAAAGTCCGGCGTGCGTGGCAGGATTGCTTCCACCCTCTGCGTCCTGCGGTTCGTATTTACGTACGGCGCCTGCTTCACAAAAACAGCAGAAAAAAAAGAGGTGGAAGAATGGAAGCGAGGAAACTTCGGGACCCGTTAAAGATAACTTCTGCGAGTCTTCAAAAACGAGAGTCCGGGAGCGGGCTGTCCCCTGGGCGGGCTGCTGCAGGGGCATC